AATTTGACTAACAAGTTATAAGTACATGAGTCCAAAAATTATGGAAAAGTAAAAGAAAAGATTCTTTCATTGTTTTACAAACCCTCCCCTAGGTCCCCTCCACCATGCAGCCCTCGCTCTAGTCTCCTGTGATGACAGAAATACTAATTCTTTTTTTTTTCATTTAAATTTGTTATTAATTTCAGTGAAAATTTAGAGAGGCTTTGGATTTCCATTCATTCATTGTTGTAGGAATTAATTTTTTTTCGTGTCAGACAGGTAACGTGTCCATGTTCTAACAAGGTCTAAGGGTGGCACATGTCATACTAAAGCATGAATGCCAAGTCATGAAGGTCATGAACCAGAAAAGGATAATCTTTTTAAAAAGTGAATTGGGAGGAGTAGGGAAGGAAATGTGCAACCACGAATGAATAAAAATCCAACTTTTCTGTAAACTTTAAAGTCACAATTAAAAAAAAATATAATAGACTCCCCCCCAAATCCATATTGTTGTTATTATATGCCATTGAGTCATCTGCAACCCATAGTGACCCTATGTACAGCAGCTCGGAACCCTTCCCTGTCCCGGAGCAGTCTCACTAATTCTGACACACCAACCTCCCTTGATACAGTGACTGTATCAATCCATCTCATCTGGGGGCTTCCTCTTCTGCACTATTTCTCCACCCTTCTGAGCACAATGTCCTTCTCCAAGGATTGGTCTCTCCTGGCCACGTACCCAAAGTAAGTGAGGCGGAGCTTCAAAATCCAGCCTCCAAGGAAAGACTTGGTTTCACTCTCTCCAAGACAGAACTATTTGTTTTCTTGGCAATCCATGGTATGTTCAAGACTCTTCTTTAGCACTACAACTTGAAGGCATTGATTTTTCTTTGGTCATCCTTAGTCATTGTCCAGCTCTCTGAAGCATAACAAGTAATTGCAAAGACCATGGCCTGATTAGGTGCATCTTAGTCTCTACACTGACATCATTGCTCTTCAGCACTCTGGAAAGGTCCCTGACTGTAGATTTTCCCACTGCAATTTGTCTTTTGATTTCCTGACTGCTGGTGTTAAGAGTGTTGTTGATTGTGGATCCGAGCAAGCTGTAATTGATAAGAACCTCAATCTCTTCTTCATCTAAGATGGTGCCGCTAATTGACCCAATGGTGAGAATCTTTGTCTTCTTTATGTTGAGCTTCAACCCATATTGAAAACTAGTGTCCTTAACCTTCTGCAGCAAGTGCTTCAGGTTTTCTTCAGTTTCAACCAAAAAACCCCAAACCCCTCATATTTCTAAACGCATTGCCTGAGGGCAATATTTCACACCCTTCACCAGATAGGAACCACTGGGCAGTCTCACTCCTAAATTTGAGAGGAGAACGGGATATGTTCTGGGAACTTTGGTGGCATCTTTCTTGATCCTCAAAGTTAGAACCGATTGGCCACCACGTGGAATTGCTCACACTTGAGATGTAACAAGATGAACTCAATTGGTCTCAACTGTGCTGAGATTCATCACAAAGATTTCACTGGGAATAAAAAGAATTTCAAATAATCCACTGAATGTGTGTGTTCAACCCTACTTTCATTGCTTCAGGGTTTCTTCTAGTCTTTGTCTCCACAGATAACCAAGGAGGATGTGGAACAGCATGACAGGTTTGCTTTGCACTGGTAACTACACGTTTACTTCCTTAATTTGCTGGAGGTCCTTGCTTTCCATCTCTAAGGCTTCCATAGCCTCCTGCCAGGTTATAATCCCACAACCGAACACCTACCTTGGGTCCCTGAATAAATCCCGTGTTGTATGAAAGGAGAGAAGGTTAGCACTCCCCTTGACAAGGATGGAAGAGGCCCTTTGGGCCTTTACAACACGCATACGGTTAAGGCATTGCCACCTACTTCGTGGCATCTAACCACCCTGAATAAATCCCAGCTGTGTAGGAGATTAGCCTCCCAAGAAAGAGCGTTCAGTAAGTACCTTGAGTTCTCAAAGAAGCAGCTGTATTTATGGTACTAAGTCAAACCAAATCTCAGTCCACATTCCACCGAGTTTTCTCTAAATGTTCTCATCATAAATACTGCTTTGTCATGAAGTGTAATTCTTCATTCTTCCCCCTCTCTCTCTTCCCCTCTCCCCAGACATTTATGGTGTTGAACAAAAAGAAAACCATCTACCGCTTCAGTGCCAAGTGCTCCTTGTTCGTTTTTGGACCTTTCAATCCTGTCAGAACTTTCACCATCCGAGTCTTGGTGCATTCATATCCTTTTACTAAGTGGAGAACAC